ATTCGTCATCGCGATCTTGCTGGCACGCGCTGATTGGACGAGGGACGCGAGGTGCGAATCGATGGCTGAGATTCGCGGGAGGAGGGAGGAGGAATGGACGGTGCAGATTGGGTCTAGCGCAGCGACGGCTTCGATTGGTTGGAGGTGCGGGGAGGAGGAGGAGGAGGTGGAGGAGGAGGAGGATGGGGAGGAGGAGGGGGAGGGCGGGGGGAGGTGGCGGGAAGGGGAGGCGGAGGGGGAGAAGGAAGGGGAGGAGGAGGAAGAGGAGTGGGTGACTGAGAGAGTGCAGTCGTGTAATAGCTGCCTCACTGTGTTGAGATCCTTGCTGGGAAGGGAAGGGGGGGGGAAGAGGGATTAACAGGCGGGGAGTGGAGGAGAGGGGGGGGGGAAGGAGGGACAGGGGGGAGAGGGGGAGATGTGGCGCATGAGAGGGTGCAGTCGTGTAATAGCTGCCTCACTGTGTTGAGGTCCTTGCTGGAGGGAGGAGGAGAGGGGAGAGGAAGGGGGAACGGCGAGGGGCAAGAGCGGAGGGGAGGGGAGGGGAAAGACGGGGAGGGGGGAGATGTGGCGCATGAGAGTGTGCGGTCGTGGGGGAGCTGCCACACTGTGTCGTGTTCAAGTCGTTGCTGAGGGGAGGAAAAATGGGGGAGGGAGGGGAGGAAGGACAGAATGGGACAAGTCACCCCAGGGGCCAGCGCCAGCTCAACTCACCCCAGAACACCAAGGATGACCTCTTGCTCCTCCAGCAACCGATGCCCCTCCTCCACCATCCCCTCCACTTCCCGCACCACCTCCGCCTCCCTCCGCCGCCCTTCCGCGCCCGCGCCCACGCCCGCGGCCCCTGCAGCAGTGTCAGCCCCAGGTCCGCTAACTGCGGTAGCTCCGCTTCCCCCTCCCGCGCCGCCTATCAGCTCGTCAATCCCCGCCCGCGTGTCTTGAAACTGCTGCTCCAGCTCAGCGACCTTCGTGGCCATCTGAGCGTGCGCCACGTGGCACTCCGAGAACGCCTGCTGCAGCCGCGGCTCCTTCGCCAGCTGCACGAGGCTCTGCCACCCGGTTGCCGCCCGGACGGGCGCCAGTAAACGACAAGAGTGCAAAGCGCGGAGGTTCCGGTGGAAGGTTCGCAGAAGGAGCTCGTGCCGGCAGTGCTGTTGCTTATACGTGGACTGGAAATCCGCAAACGATGTGACTATATGGAGGGCCATAGCCTCCATGCTGGCAGATCCGGAACGGACGGCTTCTGCTTGCGTGTGCTGCTCCTGAAGGAGCCGCCGACACGTGTCGAAACGCGATTGGCTGGCGGCGAGATACGCCTGAGCCTGTAACAGATCCTGACGGAACTGCCGTTCGTACGACGGGATGGCTCGGAGGAGCGGGTTACCCGACCGGTCTAACGGATGTAACGGCTCGCCGCCAGGCTCACCCACCGTTATAATCACTTCTGGTACAATCATCTCCTCGATTTCTTCTACCGCGGGGGGAGGAGATTTCGGAAGGAGGCGCATCTTATTGAAAAGAAACACCGGACGAGAGTGCCCGTGAGATGCGGAACGCGAGCGCGTGTCGACCGCGCCTGCTGTGTCATGGGTGCTGTTGTCCACGTCAGCATCTGGAAGTTGATACGCTCCGAGTTGTCGTCCGGGCTCGAGGCGCACGTCCCGGCAGATTAGGAGCTGGTCCTGAGGAGGTATGGCGGTCAGCGAGGCGAGGGTGTCGCAGACGGAATCCACAGGCGTGTCCGCGCCGCAGTGGAGCTCGAACGACCTACCGCTCTCTGCCACGTGTACCAGCAACATGTCGGCTCGACTAGTTTGCTACGTGTCAAAGGTTTTATATCATATATATACACGGTAAGTACTCTGAATAAAATCGCCGAGGGCTAGCCCGAAGGCTCGCAGCTGGAAGCAACAACAACGAAACACGTAACTGGCTTACGACATATATCGCCAGTTCGGAGCACTACGTAGCAGTCGAAGGTTCGATCCACGCCGTTGATTGTCATTCCTCTCGTGGAGCTGGCTACTCTTGCTTGTGTGCATACATACTCGCATGATTGGGGAAGGAATGGCGGCTGCGTTGTACCCGAACGCAAGAAGCCGTCGATGAACATGTAAACTGCATCCAAAAGTCTTGCATACCAAGATTATTAGAAGGTTAAGCAGGGTAAGATAGAATATAGAATGATATAGTAGGGTGGAAGTCCGAACTTCCTTCTCGCAGTACAAGTGCTCTACGGTTTCATGTTACCTCGCAGCAACACCAAGGCCTTCAAGTCCCTGCAGCCAAGGAGGAAGGAAGGGGCAAGAGGAGAGTTCAAGCCCCTAATAGGCTGACCTATGATGCACCGGGAAAGCAGGGCAAGTCAGCCCTGGCCGGAGCGGCAATGATGGTCGGAGATGATGAGGAAAGTGAGTACGAGGAATATGCGTTCGTGTTCTTCTCTCCGGTGGAGATTCTGGGAGAACCAACAACTCTCAAGTAGGCCTTGGAGAGTAGTGATGCTGATGAGTGAAAGAAGGCAATGGAGAGCGAGCTGAAGAGCATTGAGGAGAATGACAGGTGGGAATTGGTGGAGTTACCGGGGGGACGTAAGGCGATAACGTCTGAGTGGCTCTTCAAGATCAAGTCGGACACCGACGGCAAGATCGAGCGCTACAAGTCTAGGCTTGTTGCCAAGGGGAACCAACAGAAGGAGAAAGTGGACTTCAAGGAGCTGTTTGCTCCTGTGGTGAAGCCGACAACACTGCAGACCCTACTCGCGGGGGCTGCCATCAAAGGATGGGTTGTGAAACAAATGGACGTGACAACCGCGTTCCTCAACGGCATTCTCGAAAAAGATATTTTCTTGGCACAGCCAGACGGGTTTGATGATGGTAGTGGCAGAGTATTGAAGCTGAAGAAGTCCCTCTATGGGCTGAAGCAGGCCCCTAGGCAGTGGTACTTGAAGCTGCGAGAAGTTTTGGAGGAGATCGGCTTCACTCCCTCAACGGCCGACCACTCCTTGTTCATGCTTGGCGAGGGGGAGCAGAGGAGCTTCATGGTGGTGTATGTGGATGACATCCTCATCTTGTCACCCTCTTCTGACCTTTTAAAGATGGTGATCCTGAAGCTTCAGGACGAGCAAGCCAAAAACGATGAACCGATCTTCTCATGTGGAAGTTCCAAGGGAGGTTCCGAACGATGAATCCAGCCTGCAGTGAAGCCTCGGCCGAGCGTAACACTCGCTCTTTGTGATTCGTCCCCGCAAATTCAAGGTCGCACTGGTCATTCTGTCTGCCGAGTAGGACTATTGTGGCTTGGTCTTACTTGATTATGAGACGTTCGGAACCAATGAGAGAGACCAAGGCTTGTGGTTTGATGGCTTGGTAGTGTGTGGTGAACCTCTTGTCTTGCCACGGCGTAATGGTCTTACGCTGCAGACGTGAGGTTCACGGAACTTGACGTGTCAGTTGTTACACGTTGAGCTCTGGCTGGCGGGCATATTTCGTCAGTCTTCGTCGCGATCTTCGAGACCCAAATTTGTCCTATCACTAGTCAGAAGCAAGAGCAGCGACACGTCAGAAAGAACCCTTGTGTGGTGAGCAGGACGCAGGTTTTGGGATTAGCTGAGTGGCAAGCAAATGTACAGCACCTTGATTGGACAAGCACCTTCGACCAATCGATGAGCTGCAGCTCCAGGGGGCTAGGCAAACATTCGACAACGACGAGTCCACTAAAACTTTTGGTACAATAAATCAACTTGGTCATCCATGACTCTCCTTACAAATTATTGCTTCCACCACAGCTAACAATAGCAAGAGTGTGCCACCAGCCACACTTGGCATCTTGCACATACACATTATGCTCGTAATGCCGTTTTCTACTACCAGTGCTAGCATTGTCGCCAGGCAAATATTGGTGACACTTCTTCATGGAAACCATATGAGGGGAATGAGTATCGTTCATATGGCCAATTCCCAACTGGCATCACCACAAAAATGAGAAGGAAGTCGTTGTAACGCAGATAGAGGGAGCACACGAAACATGGACATGAATCATAAGCTTGCTGTGATTTTCTATACAAATAGCATGTGCATGGGTTCCACACATGGGTGGGTGTACCATGTGAGTTGATATCAAAGCATGCATGTTGGATTTGATGCACAATAATTGGGTGCAAGGCGAGACATGCATCAATTCTACGAAGGGTTATATGCATGGAAGCGAAGTTGAAACCCAAAACCATGAAGTTGAAGTTCGATGCATGAGAAAGTGTACCACACACACCTGCCCGAAATTGTTGGAACCCCAGACAAGATAGGGGGAAGAGGACCATTGGTGGTGAGAGCAAAGTTGTGAGGCATCTCAAAACACACATACCTGCCCAAACTGGTTGGAGCCCCAGACGAAAAGAGCACCATCAGTGGTCACAGCAGAGTTTCGATGCATCTCAAAACACACACACACACACACACACACACACACACACACACACACACACACACACACACACACACACACACACACACACACACACACACACACACACACACACACACACACCTGCCCGAACTTGTTGGAACCCCAGACGAAAAGAGCACCGTCAGTGGTGACAGCAACTGAGTGCCGCGCTCTACAGGAGATGGCTTTCACCGAACGATTGTCCAGATTCGGAGAATCTAGTAGCGTTGGAAACACCTGACAAGGGGAACAGGTGTAAGCACGCAAACACACAGATACACGAGGGGAACGAATAGAGACAGCGAGTCAGCGACACGCGATAGGGGAAACAGACGATATGCACAAACAAAGAGAAGCATGTGACACACACGCAAGAACATGACAGCAACAACAAGAACATTATGCCACACACTGGTAATGATATTTTAGGCGTGACTTTTGAGGATTCTCAAAAGTCACACCAACATTAAGCCACACGCTGGTAATTATATTTTAGGCGCGTAAAAAAACATTAAGACGTTCACACAGGCCGGTAATGTTGGTTTGGGAACGGTGGTGGTTCACACCTTAGCTGCCGTGTCTCCAGTGCCCAGCTGGCCAAACTGATTGCCTCCCCAGCTGTACACGTCACCCCCTTCCAGTTCCACATCAACACTGCCAACCTCCACGTCAGCATCACCACCGGCACCACAACCAGTAGCGGCACCACGGTTGCTGATCGAACCAGCGGGGAGGGCGAGGGCAAGAGAGTGCCAGAGATCAGCAGCAATGGCTGTTACTGCGAGGCCGGCGAAGGAGGTGAGGCGGGTGGGGGAGAGATGGTCGTCTGATGTGCCGTGACCGCACTGCGGGGAGCGGGATTGGCAGGGGTAGTTGGGGGTGAAAATGGGTGAGACATGGTCAGCAGCGGCAGCAGCAGCAGCGGCAGCGGCAGCGGCGGCGGCGGCGGCGGCGACAGCAGCAGCAGCAGCAGCAGCATAAGCAGGTCCGGGGAAAGTAGATTGTGGGAAGCAGAATGGCGGGAGAGGAGGTTGTGTGCTGTGCATGCATGGCGTAGCTTCCTGCAGCGCTATGAATGGCACCTGCCCACCCACCCACCTACCTGCCCATACTGCCCCCATCCATAGGAGAAAAGCGAGCCATCCTCTGCCATGGCACAGCGAGGAGAGGAGGCGGGCATGGCGGAGGTGGAGGCGGAGGGGGGGTAGGGGGTGGTGGAAGGCGGAGGGGCACGGGAAAGGGGGAGGAGAGCGGGAGGGGCATGCATACCTGCCCATACTGGCCCCATCCAAAGGAGAAAAGCGAGCCATCCTCTGTCATGGCAGGAGAGGAGACACAGGAGAGGGGGAGGCGGAGGCGGAAGGGGAGAAAGGGGAAGGGGAGAAAGGGGAAGGGGAAGGGGGAGGGGGAGGGAGAAGCGGTGGGAGAGGGGGAGGGGAAGGGTGCGTGTGTGCGAGGGGGAGGGGGAGGGAAAGGAACAAGCAGAAAAGGACGCTCCGGGACATGTGCGTGTGTCGACCCCTGCCCCTACCCCTGCCCCTGCCCCTGCCCCTGCCCCTGCCCCTGCCCCTTCCTGTGCCTCTGCCCGTGCCTCTGCCTCTGCTTGTGCCTATGTTCACCTTCTATGGTTGCTCCCCACCCACCCACCCACCCACCCACTTGCCAGCACGAGGCTGTGCCTCCCTCCACAGGCCACTGCTGTTGCTTTTATCGAGTCGTCTCCAGCAGCACAGTCTGCTACAGCGGATGTGCTTATAACGGATGCTGCAGGAGCAGCAGGCAGCATCACGCACACTGGCTGTGTCACCTTCCCCACCCGCCTGCCCACCCCCAGCTGCCCCTCACCACCCTCGCCCCACGCCCACACCATTCCACTGCCTGGTTTGGTTGTGACAGGAACAGAGAGGAGGAGAGGGGAAGGAGTTGTGCGTGTGTGGTCTGATTTGAACCCCCAGCTGCCCCTCACCCCCCTCGCCCCACGCCCACACCATTCCGCTGCCTGCTCTGGGTAGAGGTTACAGGGGGGAGGAGAAGGGGGAGAAGTTGTACATGTGTTGGTTGGATGCCAACCCCCAGCTGCCCCTCACCCCCCTCGCCCCACGCCCACACCATTCCACTGCCTGCTCTGGGTGAAGGGCCTAGTGGGGAAGGGGGAGAAGGAGAGGCGTTGCGCGAATATTGATATGATTTGAACCTCCAGCTGCAACTTAGCCCCCACGCCCACACGCCCCCACGCCCCCATGCCCACACCCCCACACCATGCCGTTCCCTGCTCTGGGTAAATAAAGAGGGCACGGGGGGGGGGGGGGGGGTGTGGGAAGGGGAGGTGATAAAAGTTGAAAAATCACCTGAGAGTGCAACACAATGTGTAATGCGTAACGCGGAAGCCCACACAGGCGGATTTAATGCGTAATGGTGACCCCGAGGGGAAGCGACGGGAGGAGTGGGTAGCAGCACGCAGCACAAGGGGAGGAGTGGGTAGCAGCACACAGCACAACAACCGCCACCTGGAAAATCACCTGAAAGGGCAAGGCAATGCTGGAGGCCGACAAGGAACGGATGAGATGGTGACCCCGTGGGGAAGCGATGGGAGGAGCGGAGGGCGATTTTTTAGTCGACTTAAAAATTGTCTCATCACACCCCGTGGGGAAGCGATGGGAGGAGCGGAGGGCAGGCGGGCGTCAGCATAGGCGAGTGAATGGTTTTGAGTTCTCAAAACCCCATAAAAAATTACCTGAGAGCGCGAGGCAATGCCGTAGGCCAACAGGACAGAGGTGACCCAGGGGGGGAAGGGATGGTAGGAGGGGAGGGCAGCAGCACACAGCACAACAACCGCCACCTGAGAAATCACCTGAGAGCGCGAGGCAATGCTGGAGGCCCACAGAGACAGAGGTGATGGTGACCCAATGAGGAAGCGATGGGAGGAGAGGAAGGCAGGCGTGAGCAGAGGTGGGATGTGTGCTGCTAGTGGAAGGTTGTGCCGTGGGGCTGTGCTGTGGTGCTGCTGAGGTGTTGTTCGCTGCATGACCATGCTGCTGTGCAGGGGCAGCAGGGGCAACGTCCCACTGCATGAGTCGTCCTGATGCTGGATGGTCGGGGCAGGGCAAGAGACAGGGCAAGAGATACGATAATAGGCACGCTGCTGTGCAGTGGCAGCAGGGGCAACGTCCCACTGCATGAGTCGTCCTGATGCTGGATGGTCGGGGCAGGGCAAGAGACAGGGCAAGAGATACGATAATAGGCACGCTGCTGTGCAGTGGCAGCAGGGGCAACGTCCCACTGCATGAGTCGTCCTGATGCTGGATGGTCGGGGCAGGGCAAGAGACAGGGCAAGAGATACGATAATAGGCACGCTGCTGTGCAGTGGCAGCAGGGGCAACGTCCCACTGCATGAGTCGTCCTGATGCTGGATGGTCGGGGCAGGGCAAGAGACAGGGCAAGAGATACGATAATAGGCACGCTGCTGTGCAGTGGCAGCAGGGGCAACGTCCCACTGCATGAGTCGTCCTGATGCTGGATGGTCGGGGCAGGGCAAGAGACAGGGCAAGAGATACGATAATAGGCACGCTGCTGTGCAGTGGCAGCAGGGGCAACGTCCCACTGCATGAGTCGTCCTGATGCTGGATGGTCGGGGCAGGGCAAGAGACAGGGCAAGAGATACGATAATAGGCACGCTGCTGTGCAGTGGCAGCAGGGGCAACGTCCCACTGCATGAGTCGTCCTGATGCTGGATGGTCGGGGCAGGGCAAGAGACAGGGCAAGAGATACGATAATAGGCACGCTGCTGTGCAGTGGCAGCAGGGGCAACGTCCCACTGCATGAGTCGTCCTGATGCTGGATGGTCGGGGCAGGGCAAGAGACAGGGCAAGAGATACGATAATAGGCACGCTGCTGTGCAGTGGCAGCAGGGGCAACGTCCCCTGCATGAGTCGTCCTGATGCTGGATGGTCGGGGCAGGGCAAGAGACAGGGCAAGAGATACGATAATAGGCACGCTGCTGTGCAGTGGCAGCAGGGGCAACGTCCAACTGCATGAGTCGTCCTGATGCTGGATGGTCGGGGCAGGGCAAGAGACAGGGCAAGAGATACGATAATAGGCACGCTGCTGTGCAGTGGCAGCAGGGGCAACGTCCCCTGCATGAGTCGTCCTGATGCTGGATGGTCGGGGCAGGGCAAGAGACAGGGCAAGAGATACGATAATAGGCACGCTGCTGTGCAGTGGCAGCAGGGGCAACGTCCCCTGCATGAGTCGTCCTGATGCTGCAGATCGCAGAGAAGAGGGGCAAGAGAAGGGCGAGAGATACGGAGAGAGGGTGGTTGGGGAGAGTGTGGCGGAATCTGAGAAGTTGGAATGAGGATTTCCTTTTTTCTTTTTCTTCTTTCGTTTCTTCTCTTTCCTGCAATTCAAGGGTCAATGTCACATACCCATAATCGTATCTCTTAAGATAGCAGAAAACGGTGTTAGAGGAAAGCATTTACAAGGTACAAGCCACTGGAGCGCATTGCAACATGAAATGTTTATGCAACATGAAATGTTTATGCAACATGAAATGTTTATGCAACATGATGTTTATGCAACATGAAATGTTTATGCAACATGAAATGTTTATGCAACATGAATTGTTTATGCAACATGACACGACAACAGTTTATGGCACACCTGTGCCACACAAAGCACACGTGCAATGTGACACGTCACCACCACAGCACAACGGACAGACTGCCTCTTGCCCTGATTCCACTCACCAGAAACGAAGACACCCGCATCTTGCGAGCACTCGCCACCTGTCACGCACTCATTGGCCGGCTGCCTGTCCCAGCGAACAGCACACAGACGAGTCCTGTGACCAGCTGCTCCAGTCAACTCTCCTTCCCGTTCCTGCCCCTCCTGTTCCTGCCCGAAAAACCTCTCCTCAGCCTCGTTCACCCTTCTCTCACTGTCACTTGACCGTTTCTTTTGCTCCGCTCCGCTCTTCTGCTCCCTCTCGTGCTGCTCCCTCTCCTGATTCTCCGTCTCCCGCTGCTGCTCCGACTTCTGCTGCTTGCTGCCATGCTCGCACTGCTCTTTGCCCTGATCTTTGCCCGTTTCTTCACATGATGCCTGCTTCTTACCACGCTCCTCAGTCACCTGCCACACAAGACCATTGTCTGAAGGTACTATGTCATGTCATGCCATGTCAGCCGGCCATCATGCCATGTCAGCCGGCCACCATGCCATGTCAGCCGACCACCATGCCGTGTCAGCCGGCCACCATGCCAGTGCATCTTCTTTGCTCCTAAATTCGTTCGTGAACTAAAGCCGGAATCTCGCCATAAGCATATGTACATAAACACTGGAACTTCGCTATAAGAATTTGTGCTTTAGAGCCAGAATCGCTCGTCGAACAGGAACAGCACAAACCCAAGGCTTCAACTCACCATCCACTGCCAGTGCTGTCCCGCAGCCTCCGCCTGCCAGAAACCGCCACGTGGGGTGCTCCCATTCGCCATTCTCACCCTGCGCTTTGACCTCCTCGAAGCTTGGCACTACAAACGCGTTAAGGGACATCTCGTTAAGAGCACCGCTGGAACCCGGAAACCGGTCCCGTACGTCGTAATGGACAAAATCGTCATCATCCGCGTCAGTAAACGACCCGTTTGGAGATTGTGAGGCGAGGAATCCGGCAAAGAACAAACGGGGAGAGGAACGGCTGGAGGCCTGTCTCTGACAACGCATGACTGGGGAAGTAGCATGACAAGCCGCAAGTGCTAAGCACCAGCCGAGCTCTGAATTTTGAGGCGCCTGCAGACGTTAGCGATGGCTGCTGAATGTCAAAGATTCAATGGCTGAAGGGTGAATGCATTGGCTGCTGCTGATGTAGAATTCAGTGGATGCGTCCATTTGAAATTGACAAGAACATCTCTCCACCGTAGCGAAACACTATGGACCGTACCAAAGCGCGGCTATTCCGCGATATTCCCGAGGAAACGAGTACACCAACGGTCGAATATATTTTTGAAACGGTGAGTAGGGTGCATTCCATTTGACAAGAGCACCTACCAGAAAATCACTTCATCCTTACAAGTTCAAGAAATGACTAAACCACAAAAATAAGAACTTGCTGCATGCAGTACAAGCTAAAAAGGCGAATCACAATTGAAGGACCAGTAACTGAAAAACAATTATTCTCTACTCTTTTTGCAGGTGCCCTCTCTTCATTGCACGAAGGGCACCTGGATAATCAATCAACGCTGGCGTACCCTCCACTTCACTCCACTCCACACATATCCACTTCCTCCTTTTTCTTCTTCCATTCCAGATCTAGCTTCTGGCATTCGCATCAGCGCTCACAACAGACGAAGGATACGTGGCGCCGTTGCCATTGTCAGCAGGTGCGGCAGGAGGCTGGGAACCCCAGGAAGGCAGGGATGCGGAACGGGAGGGGGAAGGGGAGGCGGGGACGCTCTGGCCAGCGGGGCGGTCGCGCTTCTTGAGAGCGCGCTGCTTGGCGGGGTCCACCTTGGGCGGCACAGTGAAGCCGCCCATCTGCCGGAACTTGCCGACCCGCTCGCAGATGATTCGCTGCTCATCCTTCGCCACCAGGTCCTGCTCGGGGAAGGGTAAGAGGAAAGAACGAACAGGCAAAATGAGGAAGAACCACGTATGGGAAAGAGGGTAAGGGAGAGAATGATGGATCATCCTTTTGCACCACGTCCTGCTGAGGTCAGAACCATGGGTGAAAACAAAGAGGGGGAATGGAATGCAAGAAGATGAGGTGAGGGGATATTTTGCTTGTCCTTCGAGCTACTCTCAGAAGGAAACGATGCGATAAGTTATGCAGGAAACAATGGGGTGTTAACGCATACTGAAAGCAGAAGGAGAATAGGTCGGGAGAAAAAGAAGGGGGAAATGACGGCAGGAAAGGATGCGAGAAAGGGGTGGGGGGGAAACGAGGCTTGGAGCGTGGAGATGATGCCTTGTCAAGGATTCAAGGTAACTTCTAAGTTGTCTTACCATCACCTTGTCATACCCCTCTCCCCAAAAGCCTCCTTTTCTCCCTCTCCTCACAAACCTCTCTTCCGCTACTCACAAGCCTCTATTCTCTCCTACAACGCCTCTATCCGCCCTCGCCCCACCATCATGTGCGCCATGATGGAAGCCTTGATGGCCATCTACGTGGCCATGTGGTCGTTGTGCTGTGAGCCCCTTTTACGAGAAATGCAACCCAGTGGCATCACCACCATAACATACCCCTCTCCTCACAAGCCTCGCTCTCTACTCAAATGCCGCTCCCTCTCCCCCACTCGCCCCACCTTCATGTGCGCCATGATGGAAGCCTTGATGGCCATCAATGTGGCCATGTGGTCGTTGTGCGCCCCTCCTCATACAATGCATCCCAGTGCTGCCATCCCCACATCACACCTCTCTCCTCACAAGCCTCTCTCCCTCTCCTGCCATTCCTCTCTCCCTCCTCGCCCCACCTTCATGTGCGCCATGATGGCAGACTTGATGGCCATTGACGTCGCCATGTGGTCGTTGTGCGCCCCTTTACAAGAAATGTGACCCAGTGCTATCATAAACATGTCATACCCCTCTCCTAGCAATCCTCTCTCCTCAAAAGCCTCTCCTCACAAGCCTCTCCTCACAAGCCTCTCCTCACAAGCCTCTCTCTTTCTCTCCCCCCCCTCGCCCCACCTTCATGTGCGCCATGACGGCAGACTTGATGGCCATTGACGTCGCCATGTGGTCGTTGTGCGCCCCTCCCAGCGGCTCCTGCAGCGAGAGGAGGCGGGAACGGAGAGACGAAGGGAGTGATAGCGGGAGCAAAAAGTTGAAGAGAAGAGAGGGGGTGCTAAAAGGGGAGGAAAGGGGTGGGGGAAAGGGAGGGGGAGGGGGTGGAGGAGGGGGAGGGGGAGGGAGGGTGGGGGGGGGAAAGGAGGGGTTCAATGAGCACGACAGTGAGCAGGAGAAGCACACTAATGGTACGAGGAGAAACGGGGACTCACCGGGATGATCTCGTCCACCACGCCCAGCTGCTGCAGCTGATCCGCTGTGATGCGCAGCGCCTCCGTGGCCTGGTGGTCGGTTGGTTGGTTGGGTGGTTCGTGGGGGGAGACGTGCAGAGAGAAACACAGGGAAGGGAGAGAAAACGATTGATATGTGGAGCAGAGGCAGCAGCGAGAGCAGCGCCCAGCTGCTGCAGCTGATCTGCTGTGATGCGCAGCGCCTCCGTGGCCTGGTGGTCGGTTGGTGGGGAGATGCGCAGGGCGAAGCAAAGGGGGCGGAGAGAGAATGGTTGATATGGGGAGCAGAGGGAGCAGCGGGAGCAGCAGAAGTAGCGGGGGCTGAGACAGCAGAGGGAGCAGCGCCCATGGAAATGGTTATTGGAATGCAAGGAGGTTGACCAATGGGTGAAAGGGGAGGGGAGTAACTTGATAACAGTGCCCGGTTCTACGTCTCTGGATAAAGTTAGTTTCATATGCTCTGTCAGAGATGAATCAGGTTCGATTTTTTCCATGTCACTTCGGTTTGGTTGGGTTTGGTGCGGGCGAGTTGAACTGAAGCAGGCGTGGAGAGCGAGAGTGCGAGTGACTCACCTTGGGAGCAGCGGCTGCAGTCTTCCAGAGGATGGCCGCACACGCCTCTTTCTTTTAAGCGCCTCACAAATAGACGCATTGAATCGGAGCATGCATGGAGAGTGCGAATGCCAGTGCGAGTAACTCACCTTGGGAGCAGCGGCTGCAGTCTTCCAGAGGATGGCCGCACACGCCTCAGGGCTGCAGAAGGGGTGGTGGGATCAGAGACATGTAGGCATCCACACATGCACACATGCACACATGCACACATGCACACATGCACACATGCACACATGCACACATACACACGCACACACACATTTGCACATTCCCAGACACACACACACACACACAGGGGCATGCACATATCACCATATGGTCAAACACAAACGCACCGCAGAAAACAAACAAAGAAGAGCAGGAAACTGTTCAGGCTGGTTTCCAAAGACAGCGTACGTTCGTATTCCACACGGCCCTAACAGACGTCATCTTTTTCAAGCAGCCAGCAAAGCCCTGTGTAAAGTAAACCAGTGCGAGAAGGAAAAAAACCTCTTACCTGGCGACAAAGTACACTGCGTTCTCGAGCATGAGCATCTTGTTGCAGCAGCCAATAGCGAGAGCGCCACCAGAGCCGCCCTCTCCAATCACCACACTGACTGACGGCACCTTGAGCCCAAACATCTCCCTCAGGTTGTGCGCAATGGCCTCGCCCTGAGTGGGGAGGGGAAAGAGTAGGGAAGGGGGAAGGAAAAAGGGAAGGGCAAGGAGAAGGGAACGGGGAAGGGAACTTAGAACGGAGGCAGAGGCAGGAAGCAGGAGCACACTGACTGACGGCACCTTGAGCCCAAACATATCCCTCAGGTTGTGCACAGTGGCCTCGCCCAGGGAGGGGAGGGGGAAGGGAAAGGGGAAGGGAAAGGGGAAGGGAACAGGGAAGGGAAAGGGGAAGGGAACGGGGAAGGAAGTGTTGAAGGGAGGCAGAGGCAGGAAGCAGCACACTGACTGACGGAACTTTGAGCCCAATGGGATAAAGGGAGAGGAGGAAGAGAGGGGGGAAGTGAAAAAAACGGGGTCGGAGCGGGGGAACGAGGAGGGCAGGGTAAACAAGGAGAAAAGGGAAACGACAGGGCTGACTGGGGGAAGCATGCCATTCCAAGCTCTGAACGCACATAGGGAACGCCACTTTTATCGCCTGTCTGCACTACCGCAAATAACCACACCACGATTCCAACGCATGCCTATTCGATCTTCTGGGAATCATTTTCTTGTCCAAGCTACTTTGTGACGCGTGATGCCAGGCCACCGTAGGCGCCAGGTAGGTATGTCAGCAACATCCCGTGAAGCGCAGGGTGGTATACCACCTTACGATGCCCCAGAACGACACCTCACCTGTTCCACTGCCTCTCAACTCCTCAGCTGTCTAACTGCCCAAGCCTCTCTACTCCTCAACTGTCCAACTGCCCGAGAACGTCATGTCGCCGCTTCAGAATGGATTCCCTCCCTCACCTGTCCGAGCTCCTCGGCCGAGACGCCAGCGTAAGCGCCAGGCGTGTCGACGAATGTGATGATGGGCAGCCCGTGGTGGTCCGCGTGGCGCATCATGCGCAGCGCCTTGCGGTACCTGATGCAGGGGGGAGAGCCGGAAGGAGAGGGAGGAGGGAGGGGGTGAGAGGAGTGGGGGAGGCGAAGGGAGGACGGGGGGAAGAGGGCTAGCAGTCAGTACCTGTTGCATGGGCGGGGGGGGGTTAGGGGGGGGGGGGAGAGAGGGGAAGGCGGGTGGGAGAGAGGGGTAGCGGTCAACAGCCAAAGGACTAATAGCCGGGGATTTGGCACCGGTGACCATGGCGCGCGTAAGAGCCAGAACAGACAGCGCGCTGCCGTGCTGAGTGCAAGAGGGGCCATGCAATGCAACTGATGGAGCGAGACGCATAATTCGTGCGCTGACCACCGCGCTCGCCTGCGGACACGCGGCGAGAGTCAGCAAGTGCATTCACGCGATCGCTGACCCACGCACGCCAAGTCGGCAGCAGCCCGCATGCGTTCGACTGGACGACCGGGCTCTCCCGCTAACTCCCTTCCTCCCCAACAATTCGTCTCTCTCTCTCTCACCCGTTGGGCGTGGGCATGCCGAAGTTGCGGTAGATGTTCTCCTTGGTGTTGCGCCCCTTCTGGTGCCCCATGAACATGAAGCTCATGCCGTCCATGCGCCCGATCCCGCACACCAGCGCCGGGTCGTCGTAGCCCCCGCGGTCGCCGTGCAGCTCCACCCACTGCGCACGCGGAGGGGGGAGGGGGGAAGGGAAAAGCGCGCGCGGTGAGGAGGTGAGGGGAGAGTTTGCGGGGAGCGGAGAACCGAGAGGGAGGTGTAGGAGAGCCGGGTCGTCGTAGCCCCCGCGGTCGCCGCGCAGCTCCACCCACTGCGGAAAGGGAGGAGAGAGGAAGGGGCAAAGTGCGCGGAAGGAAGGGGGGGGATAGTGCGCGCGCGGCGAGGGGGAAGGAGGGGAAAGTGCGCGGAGAGGGGAGAACGGGAGGGGTCCTGTAGGAGAGCTGGGTCGTCGCAGCCCCCACAATCGCCGTGTAGCTCCATCCACTGCGCAAGAGGAGCATATAGGGCGGAGAGAGACGGAAAAAGCGCGCGGAGAGGGGGAAAGGGTAAGTGCGCGGAGAGGGGGAAGGGGAAAGTGCGCGGAGAGGGGAAAGGGGAAAGCGCTCGGAGAGGGGAGAACGGATGGGGAGAGGTAAGAGAGCGGGTCATCGTAGCCCCCCGGGTCGCCATGCAGCTCCACGCACACTGAGAGAAAGAGTAAGCGGAACGGAGAAACGTCAGGGAAGAAGGGGGAGCGGTATGGGGGACGAAAGCATTGTCGCAGCCCCCGCGGCTGCCGTGCAGTTCCGCCCACTGGGGGTGGAAGAGCGAGAGTAGGCGGAAGAGTAGGAGTACGCGGATAGAGGAGCTCAATTGAAACGCGAGCGAGCTTAGAAAAAGCGGAGGGGTATCCGTGGGAAGAAGCAGGATAAATTTTCCAGCAGAAGCATATTAACCAATACGAGCAAAACCAAGGGCGTCGGGGGAAAGGAAACGGGTGCTTCGGCTGTGTATATAGAGGCGCTCAAAACTCTTTACGCATTAAGAACAGAAACATCGGCGGTGTACACAGGGACGCTTAACGTGGAAACAGTAAGCGAGGATAGGCCTACCTTGTCGGTCATGTTGAGGACATGATCCAAGAAAGTGGGACGGTTGGGGTGCCGCGCCACGCTGAGCCGCTGAACCGGAGTTATTCTCGCGTAGATGTCGCGCTTCAGCTGGAGAAGCGGAGAAAGCGCAGGTCAGGAGGAGAGAGAGACGAAAGAAATTGGGGAAAAGGCGGTGCGGATGAAGGGGAGGGTGAGGGTTAAGGGCCCCGGTTCAGCGTGCTAATGGTGCACAATCAATCGGCGGAACGCGAAAAGTTGATAATGAAAGTAGGAAAAAAGAACAGAAAACAACAAAAAGGCATGCGTCAACGTCAGCATGGGCATTGCACGGCTGCTTGAAAAGACTACAGCGTTGCCATTTCACCAGGTTCCGTACTTGTTCCTGCGCCTGGTATGTGAAGCCCATGAGGACTCCAGAGACGCCTAGTTTGCAAATTTCACTGATACGACAGATGACCCTCATAGGCTGCGAGAGTCTCACCTGCTCATACTTGTCCTGCAGCTCCTGCACCTGGTCCGTGAAGTCCATGCCAGTCTTATCCGCCAGCTGGCGCACCTGGCGAGGCACAAAGACATTCACAATCACTGTTACAGTTAAAGTCGCAGTTACAGTCACAGTTACAGTCGCAGTTACAGGAGAACGATGGGAGTCGTAGTGGACAGTCATAAGATGATGCTTGGAGATGTTTTAACCGGGAATTCCAACAACCGGAGAATACATCGTGCGACTCTGTCAACTACGACATGGTGTGTTTTGAGAACGGAGGGAGGACTATTGCTTTCCAAGTAAAGGTTTCATGTACAACATGGTGTGCTTTAAGAAAGCAGGGTGGAGCGGGTCATCGCGGAAACCATAACCGTGACGAACGCTCGAGGTTTTCGCAGTACATGACTGATCAAGGTTTCAGCACCAGCAACCCCCCTCCTCCTAAATTCTATAGAATTAGGATCTATATACCTCGTCAATTTTCTTCTCGAGGTCGACCAGAGGTTTCTCGAACGGCAGCGCCATAGGCTTGGCGGGCTTGGCTACGTCCTTAAACTTGGACAGGAACGCCAGAAACCCCTTCTCCTCCGCATTGTACTTATCCGGCCACGGGTAGTCCGGGTCTCTCGGTGCTCTCTTAGTTTTCAGAATCTTTGCCTGGATCTGCAGCTTCTGAGGAGCAGAGCCTCCTGGCAAGATCTGACCGGCTGAAAGAGCCTTGGGAATTGGTAGGCAAACGGAATTTGAGCTCCTTAGCGATTGTCCGAGAGCATCGCCGTGAAGGGATCGAACGGCGGGGAGCTGCGAGGCAGCACGGATCGGCGAACACACCGACATGGCTTCCATTTTGGTGTTCAGCAGAGTAACGCACGGGACCCAATGGACCTAGGTGCTGTGGCTCGTTACCAGTGTGAACTCTGGAAATTAGTTCCTGAAAACCCAATTTCCACAGTTCAGTGAATATGCTGGACGAATGAATCAGGAAACGATCAGGGCCTTGTCGCCTGAAGAAATGCGAGTCCCAGAGAGGATGGAGAAACAGAAGAGGGAAGGACTTGGTCGAGGAGTGAGAGGAAGGGGGGGTTCCCAAGGTTCGGCAATCCCAAGAGTCTCCGTCCATCCTCACCAGAGTCTACACCCCCTGATGTGCGTGAAGCTCATACCGATACGGCGCAACCTCCTTGCTGTAACCGCAGCACAAGTTGTTCACGTGAGGCGGGAAAGGGGAGGAGAGATCGAGGGAAGGGGAATGGTCAGGAATTGACGATAGGCGTTGCTGACGGTTGGATGACAGGAGGGCGACATTGATTGTTTCCTGGCCCTTGGATCGTTCGTCAGATGAAGCGATAACACAGCCAACCTCTTGGGAGACACGAGGGGCGACAGATTCCACGACAGATGACTCGTGCGACAGGTCATATCCTTGTTTCACAATGCAGAATCGAGATCGGAACCGTCGAATAGTAAAAGGGATGCTTTTCGAGATTGCGACGTGATGAAGTGGCTGGATCTGACCAAACACGTGGCAGGCCGCTAATCGGGTCGAGTCTGTGCAGGGAACAGAATTCAGGTTTAAAGCCTCAAACCGCTATGGTTTCACGTTTATGTACAGTATTGGAACGCAAATTCAATGTACCACATGTTTCCTTTTTAATGGGGGTTGTAGTAGAAAGAGCCTGAAAAATAAAAATACTGGTAAGGTTCACATTATCAAAACATTATTTCCATTATTTAGATTTTTAGATTATTTATATTATTATTTATGTTCACGTTGATATAATGCATCATGATGTAAACTAGAAAGAAGTTACTCATACCAGCTTTTGGTTATTGGTGTAGCTTATGAACATGCTATTCCTAAACTCATTACATGGACACGCTTAAAAAGTGTTTCTGCCTTCCCCACCTCAACCTGCCGTTCCCCCAGTATTTGACCGTATCCAAACAACTCCGGACACGTTTCCTTGCTGCAGCCATCCATCGACCAATTAGCGAAAAGAGATTCCCTTGAGACCGCGTGACTCAGCATGGTCGTCCAATCATACAGCAATAACAGCACAAACAACAACCAGAGATACTGTACCTGTCTGCTCCTTTAGGGCGCTTCCACAACGAACCTTTTGAGAAATCTTCCGTTGAAAGCATCTCAACCGCGTAGTACCAGAGCTTACTCGCAGAAAACCGATATGCACCTGAACTGAATATGGAAATGGCTTACTTCTCTGAGTCAGGATTCCGAAGTACGAAGCACCTGTAGAGGCAATTCTCGGGATTAGTTGGTGGGTTTGGTGAATGAAGTCCCAAGGTTTGCGGATTCATGCCTGCTCTCATGACTACTTTCGTGCCTGCCCTCGTGTGAATCCAGTCCGTCTTGAAGCAGAGTCCAGTCCCGTACTCAATTCGTGCCTTCTCCAGCAGGCTGTAAGGTATCCACCATTCGGACCGCTTGCTGGACATTCGCAGCCAGCCATTCTAAACACTAGACCCACTGGTACCAACTGTTCACCATGACTGTCGCTGGTAGAGTTCTTCCCCTTTTTAGGCGGATGATGTCCACGTCAGCAGCATCACCACCTCGAAAAGTGACGGTTTTGGGAGCTGCTGGCGGCATTGGCAATCCGCTGAGCCTGCTGCTGAAAATGAATCCGCTAATAACGGATCTGGCTCTGTATGACGTCACGGGCATGCCTGGCGTGGTTGCTGACCTCAGCCACATCTGCACGAGAACCAAGGTGATTGGACCCAGGAGCCGTACACAATGAATCATTACACTCAATGATTAGCTGACCCGTCGTTCAATGCGAGCAACATTTCTATGTGCTTAACGAGGAACTCGTTTGCGGAGACACTATGGATTCCTGATCCATTCGCTGTTACGGCTCTTTCTCTTGAATACACTCAATTCATGTAAGTATCTGACGGGATGAGCAGCTAGTAAACCAGCTAATGCCTCACGACGAACCTGTATTTCCTTCTCTTCGATCTCCACTGCCGGGTCAGCAGCTACCTCGGGTATACGAGCTACCAGACGCAATGCGGGGCTTAGAACCTAAAGTCACTGATTCCCAAACAATCAGTGCGCTCATTTCACGACGAACCTGCATTCCCTTCTCTCCCATCACTGACAGGTCAGCAGCTACCTCGGGCCGTACGAGCTGCCGGACGCGCTGCGGGGGTCACACGTGGTGCTGGTGCTGGCGGGAGTGCCGTACCGGTCGTCCATGGGGGACGAGGACCGCTTCTGCATGAACGCTGGGATCGTGAGAGGCTTGTGCGAGTCGATCGCCAAGCACAGCCCAGAGGTAGGGGGTTTTGAGATGCGTGAAGGGTGTGGGAACTGCGTGGAGAGGGGGAGTGCCGTACCGGTCGTCCATGGGGGACGAGGACCGCTTCTGCATGAACGCTGGGATCGTGAGAGGGCTGTGCGAGTCGATCGCTAAACATAGCCCGGAGGTAAGGGCGTGCGAGAGTGCGAGTCGATTGCAAAACACAGCCCAGAGGAACCCCCTCAACGCCACCTCCCTAACCCTTCTTTCTCCCCTTCCTTTCCACTGATTGAGTCCCCTTTCCCCCTTTTTCCTGCCCTCCTCGCTGTCTCCACCACTCCAGGCGGTGATAGGGGTGATCACGAACCCCCTCAACGCCACGGCGCCGATAGCAGCAGAGGCCATGGCGGGGGCAGGCAAGTACGATGCAAGGCGGCTGGTGGGAATCACGTCGCTGCACTCCGTGCGCGCCAGAGCCCTTCTGGCTGAGGCAACGGGGCTGAAAGCGACAGGTGAGAGAGAGAGTTGAAAGGAAGGGTGAGAGTAGGGGAAGGGGCGAGAGCAGGCAGGTATGAGGCGCGGCGGCTGTTGGGGATCACGTCGCTGCACTCCGTGCGAGCCAGAGCTCTGCTGGCTGAGGCAACGGGACTCAAGGCGACAGGTGAGGGGGAGTTGAAAGGGCGAGAGCAGGAAATTACAGGAAGAAGCAGGTGCTGGGAGTCAGCGTGATAAAAGTAACATTTTGAGAGTCATCGTGTCTCAGTCGATTAAGAAATCGTGCTGGGAGACGTCTCAAAATGTTACTTTTATCACTTACAGGAAGAAGCAGGTGCTGGGAGTCATCGTGTCTCAGTCGATTAAGAAATCTGCTCATGGGCGAACGGCACCAAGGCTGGGGTTGGTTGATGGCACGGCTGGTGGGAAGGGAAGCAGGGGCCGTGACGGCTGGTGGGAAGGGAAGCAGGGGCCGTGACGGCTGGTGGGAAGGGAAGCAGGGGCCGTGACGTGACGCCTCAGGTGAGTGAGAGTGATGTGGGCTAGTAAGAACGTGGGAAGACCGGTTACGGCAGGCGCGAGAGAATTGCAGGTGAGAAGGTGAGGAGGAGAGACGGTGAGTGGGTGAGAGGGTGAGATTGTGAGAAAGGACAAGAGAAGGAGTGAGGATGCTGGGTGAGGTGAGGTGCTGGAGAGGGTGCGTGCAGAGATGACTCAGAGGAGAGTGTCAGTTGAGGGGCACGGGGAAGGCGAGCAGCACGTGTGTCATGGTAACGAGGTGACTTTTGACTCGACTCAAAAGTCACCTCTGCAGAGATGACTCTGAGGAGAGTGTCAGTTGAGGGGCACGGGGAAGGCGAGCAGCACAAGTGAATGTGAGACGTTTTGTAGAAACCTTCCAGAGAATTCAGTATTGGGAGATTCAGCATTGGGGGATTCAACATTGGGGGATTCAGCATTCTTCAACCCGGCTTTGCATCGCTCTCGGCAATTCCCTCCATTCCATTCTCCACCCCATATATCCCCTCCGCACCCCACCTGTCCTTCAAGTGGTTTCATCCTCCGCTTTTCTCCCTCATCTCATGCACACCAGCCCCCATCATCTCATGCACACCAGCCCCCATCATCTCATGCACACCAGCTCCCATCATCTCATGCACACCAGCCCCCATCATCTCATGCACACAAGCCCCCATCATCTCATGCACACAAGCCCCCATCATCTCATGCACACCAGCCCCCATCATCTCATGCACACCAGCCCCCATCATCTCATGCACACCTGCCCCCATCATCTCATGCACACCAGCCCCCATCATCTCATGCACACCAGCCCCCATCATCTCATGCACACCAGCCCCCATCATCTCATGCACACCAGCCCCCATCATCTCATGCACACCAGCCCCCATCATCTCATGCACATCAGCCCCCATCATCTCATGCACACCAGCCCCCATCATCTCATGCACACCAGCCCCCATCATCTCATGCACACCAGCCCCCATCATCTCATGCACACCAGCCCCCATCATCTCATGCATCATCCTCCCTCTGCCTGTGCGTCTGACTTTCAGCTGCCTCACAAGCTCTTTTCTTGATGCATCGTCCTCCTCTGACGCTGCTTCTGTCTAGATTCGTCTTATTTGACTCCCAAATCTCGCACCTTGTACTCTTCTCATCCATCCAATACAGATATGTCAGTGCCTGTTGTGGGAGGCAGCAGAGACAACTTTTGAGGCGCCTCAAAAGTTATCGCACCATCCACTCATCTCATCGTCCATTTCAAGTTTTGAGACGTCTCAAAACCATCCACTCATCTCATCCATCCGTTTCAGATATGTCAGTGCCTGTTGTGGGAGGCAGCAGAGACAACACAATAGTCCCCCTCTTCTCGCAGGTGTGTGTGTATCTCCGTCCCTATTTTGAGTCGATTAAAAAGAAGTATCTCCGTCCCTATTTTGAGTCGACTAAAAAGAAGTATCTCCGTCCCTATTTTGAGTCGACTAAAAAGAAGTATCTCTGTCCCTATTTTGAGTCGACTAAAAAGAAGTATCTCCGTCCCTATTTTGAGTCGACTAAAAAGAAGTATCTCCGTCCCTATTTTGAGTCGACTAAAAAGAAGTATCTCCGTCCCTATTTTGAGTCGACTAAAAAGAAGTATCTCCGTCCCTATTTTGAGTCGACTAAAAAGAAGTATCTCCGTCCCTATTTTGAGTCGACTAAAAAGAAGTATCTCCGTCCCTATTTTGAGTCGACTAAAAAGAAGTATCTCCGTCCCTATTTTGAGTCGACTAAAAAGAAGTATCTCTGTCCCTATTTTGAGTCGACTAAAAACAAGTATCTCCGTCCCTGTTTTGAGTCGACTAAAAAGAAGTATCTCCGTCCCTATTTTGAGTCGACTAAAACGAAGTATCTCCGTCCCTATTTTGAGTCGACTAAAAAGAAGTATCTCCGTCCCTATTTTGAGTCGACTAAAAGAAGTATCTCCGTCCCTGTGCTTCAAGTGCATGAATCCGATACTTCCTTTCGTTGCTCCATCCCATACCCGTCGCCATTTTCCTCCCCCTCGTCTCTCTGCCCGTCCTTCATTCCTACTTCCGCCTCTTGTCATTCTCCTCTCTCTTGTCTCCTCGTCTCTCTGGCTCTTGCTCCAGGCTACCCCTTGCGTTTCCCTGTGTGAGAAGGAGCGGGTGAATGTTGAAGCACCTTACAAAACCCTCTCTGTCCCTTTGTCCCTCTGTACCTCCATTCCTCTGGTTTTTCAGTCGACTTAAAAAACGTCCCTCCCTATCCCTCTGCCTTTCCTTCACCCAGGCCACCCCGGCAGGTTTTTGAGAATTCTCAAAAGCCACCCCGGCATTTTCCCTGCGAGGTGACTTTTGAGTCGACTCAAAAGTCACCTAATTCTCACAAGCCACCCCGGCATTTTCCCTGCGTGAGGAGGTGCGGGTGAGGCAGGTGAAGGCAATAATTTAGAAACCTCAAAAACTAGCTCTGTCCCTGTCTCCCTGGCAGGTGTTCCTCTGTTTCTCTGTCTCTCTGTCTCCCTGTCTCTCTGTCTCTCTGTCTCTCTGTCTCCCTGTCTCTCTGTCTCTCTGTCTCCCTGTCTCCCTGTCTCTATCCTCGTTTCTTCTGTTCCCCTGTCCCTCTGTTCTTCTCTCAGGCCACCCCGGCAGTTTTCCTGCGAGAGGACGAGCGTGTGAGGCTGGTGAGGCGGGTGAGGGCGACGTTTTAGGCATCCTGAAGGTTACCTCCGTCCCTCCGTCCCTCTGTCCCTCTGTCCCTCTGTCCCTCCGTCCATCCGTCCCTCCGTCCCTCTGTCCCTCCGTCCCTCTGTCCCTCCGTCCCTCTGTCCCTCCGTCCCTCTGTCCCTCCGTCCCTCTGTCCCTCTGTCCCTCTGTCCCTCTTTCCCCTTATCCCTTCGTTCAGGCCACCCCGGCAGTTTCCCTGCGAGAGGAGGAGTGGGTGAGGCGGGTGAGGGCGACGTTTTAGGCATCTTGAAGGTTACCTCCGTCCCTCCGTCCCTCCGTCCCTCTGTACCTCTGTCCCCTCGCCCAGGCCACCCCAGCAGTTTCCCTGCGAGAGGACGAGCGCGTTAGGCTGGTGAGGCGGGTGAGGGCGAGTGGCATGCAGGTGATCACAGCCAAGGACGGCAAGGGTTCTGCCATCATGGCTCCAGCGTACGCCCCCCCCGCTCCCACTGCTACTTGCTTGCATTGAAAGCTGGCGCATATGTTGACTAATGAGTTGACTTGTGAGTTGACTTCGGGTTGACTCATAGATGGACTCGTGGGTTGACCCGTCAATTGATTTGTAAGCTGGTGAGGCGGGTGAGGGCGAGTGGCATGCAGGTGATCAGCGCCAAGGACGGCAAGGGCTCTGCCATCATGGCTCCAGCGTACGTCCCTCCTCCTGCCTCCCTCCTACTATACTACCACCTACTCGCCTCGCATTTCTACCAAGAGCTTCCCTGTGCTCTCTACATATGCACCCGGTGTCCTATCCTATGCGCCTCTCTGCAGGTACCCCGCTTTCCGTTGCGCCTTTCTGCGTGCGCATTTCTCCCACTGTGTCTTGTGACTTCTTCTGCGCTTTTCAATTTTATTCCGCTGTCCCCACTTGTGTTGTGGCTGTGCAGGTTTGCAGCTGCCAGCTTCACAAATTCGCTGCTCAAGGCCCTGAATGGTGAAGCGGTTACGGAGTATGCGTATGTGGCTTCAAGTGTAACAGATGCCCCCTTCTTCGCTTCAAAGGTACGGCGGTCATGCCACTACAATCGTGGCACTCATGAATTTTATTCAACATGTCTCACACCACAGGTTTCCACCTAGTGCAAATTCATCTCGAATTTTACCTCTTTCCCCGCCCCCTCCTCTCTCCCTCTTAGCCCAACCCCCCTTCCCTTCCCCCTTCCCTCCTCCCGTCCTCACCCTCATCCCACACTCCCCAGCATCTTTCACCTCTTTTAACCTTCGCGCCTCCTTTCATCCTCAATGTATCTTCACGTAGCAAGAGTTGCTATAATGCTTGAATTGATAATTGGTTATTTCCATCTGGATTGTTGTCTTGGTTCAACGCAGGTTCAACTTGGTCCCAACGGTGTGGAAAAGGTGTTCCCAGTTGAGGACGTGAGTCATGGAGAACGGAAAGACGTCGAAAGTGCTGTTAGGCTAATAAAAGAAGATGTTGCCAAGGGCATAGCATTTATGTCCACAAGATGAGCTTATGATGTGCGCCACAATTACTTTGCTAACCGAAGTTGCTATATCGCGGAACATCGACGCTGATTCTTACCGAGCCACGTGTAGATGGAGGTGAAGGTGCCTTGCTATTGGTCAAAGCTTCCCATTAGAATATACTAATTTTCGGGCATCTTACTAACGACTTCGGTACAGTAGGTCAACGTGTAGCATTAGCCTTGATGGAATATCGCTACGTGGACAAGGCACAGCAGATTCTATTCCGACGTTGCGAAATTCGTTTAGAAGTTGTCCAATTCAACCAGTACAAAGAAAATGTTTGCAAGGCTGGCAGGAGCTGCTGCTGAAATGCACTCCCTGGGTGTAAAAATATTCCCTCCGGGTCCTCTGGAGATTCCTTTTCGACGTGTACCAGTCAATCCCAACCCTCCTTCCCAACCTGTCGCCGTTCCCCCCCTACAGCCCCACACACCCACTTCGTCAGCAAGCCACGCTCCACGCAACCGCAGCGCATTTGCAAAATCCAATGGAATGGTGGAGATTCCGCTGGTGAACAGACACCCAGTGGTGCTCCATCAGAGATTCCCTCCAACGCGGTCCGGACGGACGAATGATTCCGCGTCCCCATTCTTCGTCTCTCCACTGCCATTCGCTCCATCTGAGCACCTCCCGCTCCTCACTCGAACCTCCCTCTGCTCGCTTCAATTTTCCAACCAGCTCGTGTTTTTCCATGGTTGTTCTGCCATACTGCCTGGCACACCACACCACACCACCTGCCACATTCTTGACATAAATTTCGCGCCACCAGTTTCCAACTTCGATAGTGTTTGTTCCAATCCCCGTCCTCGTGCATTCGTGACCTTTCCCCCGATTTCCGCGCTTGCTGGCAGATTCGAAAGCCACAAGCTTATCCAAGCAGGTCTCCAACTCTTCGCGCCACTTTAACCCTTTACTTTGAAGCCAACGAGGCGTTTCTCATAAGTGTCTAATAATTCTATACCGTCTTGCGTGAACTAGCATTTTCACGAAGAACTAACTGCTAACGATCATGGCTTCTACGTGCACCGTCAGGTGCGTAACGAACATGGCTTCTCAACAACTCTCACCGCAAGCGGCCTTTCAGCTGCCGTCGAGCTCGCTACACTCAACTCCGCCCGCCCACTCACTGAGCCGCTTCGCCTTGCCGTTCGCTCCGCTCGGCCAATCGCCGTGCTCCCGTTCCCGACGGCGACGAGCTGCGCCTTCCGCGGTGCACCACTCGCACAACCGCGCGTCGCGTATCGACGAGGGCGCGCAGAAGTGGGGCGGTGTCCTCCGTCTCGGTGACGGGAAGAGCGGCGGAGGCGGGGAGTACTCCGCGTGGTCTCCCGTGAAGGTCCCCCCACGCGTAGCCGCGCCACCGCCCCGCGCGCAACCGACGAAGGCGCAAAGGCAGCGCTCCGCCAAGGCGCGCGCGAGCAGCGGAAGTACCGCTGTGTTGCGCGGAGAGCCCACCGCAATCGCGGTCGCCGTGCCGGTGCCGAATGGATTGTCCGTCGGGCTTGGCGACTCCATCCGCGAGCCAACCGGAGCTCCGCGTTCCGCGGCTATCGGCGCAAAGAGCATGGCGGAAGCTTTGGAAATCTCCCCCGTGACTGCCGCCGCGATGGTCGCCGCGATCGGCGCATGCGCCGTCGCCGCGCCGTTCGGCCTCGGGTTTCTCTCCGCCGACGCGCCGCTGCAGACGAACGTGCTAGCGTACATCACGGCGATGATCGGGCTGTACATGGCGTGGAACATCGGCGCGAATGACGTGTCAAACGCAATGGGCACGTCCGTCGGGTCGGGTGCGCTGTCGATGCGGACCGCGGTGCTCGTGGCGGGGGTTCTGGAATTTGGCGGCGCGATGCTCGTCGGGTCGCACGTGAGCGACACGATGCAGACGGGGATCATTGACCCGGGGCTGTTTGTGAACGATCAACCGCTGCTTTTCACCGGCATGATCTCATCGCTCGCTGCTGCCGGCACGTGGCTACAGGTACGGTCCACATCTTGTGCAAACCTCCTTATCCTCCCCCCACCCTTCCCCCTCCTCTTCTCCCTACCTCTGGAGAATCAAAACTTAATATGGAGATCGAAACAAGAGTCCCTGGTTGTGCCACCAACTTCCCATTAATAAATATTAATGGCTATTGGTTTGAATAAAGATACCTCGAATCCAAAACGCACACCAACCTACCTCCTCTCCCTCCCACGTGTCTCCCGCCAGTCTGTTTTAGCCTAATTCTCGGTTTCCACGCGTGTCCCCTTCTTTCGCATCGCGTAATTCCAGATTGCGACGCACTTCGGCTGGCCCGTGTCGACCACGCATTGCATCGTTGGCGCGATGGTGGGGTTCGGTTTCGTCTACGGCGGCGCGGACGCGGTTTGCTGGGACTCGCTGTCCCACGTGGCCTCCTCCTGGGTGCTCTCGCCTGTCCTCGGAGCTACTGTAGCGTACAGTATCTACACCGCAATTCAGAAATTCGTTTACGAAGCCGATTCGCCCGCCCACGCCGCTTCCAGCGCCGCTCCGTATCTCGTGGGGCTGGGCGTGTTCGCGTTTTCGTTATCCTCGTTATACACTGGAGACGCCGCGTTTGCGCCAGCCGCGTTGGAGTCTCTTGCAGCGGGTACAGTGGCCACGGGTGTAGCATCTGTCTTTATGGAAAAACAGGTCGGCAGCCAATTAAAGGAGCTAAGAAAGTCGCTTAGCTTGCAAGATGGAAGACAATCGTCTAGGACAGCAGCAGCAGGAGGAGCATGCAAGGGGGAGCAACAACGAACAGTGTACTCTATTTTCGGGTATCTCCAGGTTCTATCCGCGTGTTTCATGTCGTTCGCTCACGGCTCTAACGACGTCGCGAACGCAATCGGCCCCATCGCTGCTGCGCTCAACATCCTTTCCGCTTCTGCGGTTGCCGCTACCTCTTCTGATGCTGCCGATGCTGCTGCTGTCGCGGCTGCTGCGGCGCCAACCACGCATATTCTCATGTGGGGTGGTTTCGGCATTGTCGCAGGGCTACTCGTGTGTGGTTACCAGGTGATTTCGACGATTGGCGGGAAAATCACCGAGATTACCCCAACTCGTGGGTTCGCAGCGGAATTCGCAGCAGCCTCGGTGGTGGTGCTGGCGTCGCGATTAGGGTTACCAGTTTCCGCGACGCACACGCTGGTGGGAGCGGTTATGGGGGTGGGACTGGCGCAAGGGGGAAGCGGGGGAGTGCGCGGGGAAGTATTGGCGGAGATTGCTGCCTCGTGGGCAATCACCATTCCCGCTGGCGCAGCTCTCGCGATAATATACTCCGCTGCTCTGTCTCAGATCGTTCCTGCTTTCTTCTGAAGGTCCTTCTGAGCATCAACTTTGAAGTCTGTGGACAGTCGGTTTGTGAAAACTCCCCCTCGATTTCTGGGGTAGTCTTTGGGTCCATCCATCCACCTATGTACTTGTTTCTATGCCTGTGGGAATCAGGTGTGGCTGCTGCAGTTGAGCAGCGGTGCTGATGGGGAAGGTTATTGATCGATTGCCTCTCCCCTTCAACTCGCAATTTTGCAGCTTCCAAGTGTGTGTGTTGCTGATCCTACATGTATTGCTTAAATAATGAACGCGTAGTATTGTGTACTCTTGGTGGCAGTAAAACAAGCACTCCGAGGATTCGTGACGAGATAGAGCAAAACATAACCTTTTGTTGCTAAGCAATGAGCTGCTTGCGGTCTAGAAATTGCAATACAATAGTTGGTGGTAGCAGCCACGTGCCAATGAGGGGCAGTAGTAGACCAATCAGGAAGCCCAGGAGCATGCCGTATGTGCTGCTGATAGGCCACACCTGATAGGAGGGGAGGGCAAGAGGAGGGGAGGGCAAGAAAGGTAAGTTTAAACACAGGATGCTGGCACAGCAATGGATGGAATGGAAGCATATCCTGTCCTGTCCAGCTAAAACTCTTCCTAGGTGATTCCTGCCTCACCCACCGCTATGACTGCTCCCGGCCAAGAAGCATGGGCCATGCACCCATGCACCCCATCATGCACCCATCGTGCACCCATCATGCACCCATCATGCACCCATCATGCACATCATGCACCCATCATGCACTCATGCACCCATCATGCACCCATCATGCACCTATGCATCCATACACCCATGCACTATGCACCCATGCACCCATCATGCACCCATCATACACCCATCATGCACCTATGCATCCATACACCCATGCACTATGCACCCATGCACACATCATGCACACATCATGCACACATCATGCACCTATACACCTGCCCCTTCCCCCACTAACCCACCTGCCATGGCATTTCCCAGTCCAGAAGCATGGGCCATGCAACCATACAACCATGCACCCATCATGCACCCATCGTGCACCCATCGTGCACCCATCGTGCACCCATCGTGCACCCATCGTGCACCCATCGTGCACCCATCGTGCACCCATCGTGCAACCCATCGTGCACCCATCGTGCACCCATCGTGCACCCATCGTGCAACCATCGTGCACCCATCGTGCACCCATTCGTGCACCCATCGTGCACCCATCGTGCACCCATCGTGCACCCATCGTGCACCCCATCGTGCCACCCATCGTGCACCCATCGTGCACCCATCGTGCACCCATCGTGCACCCATCGTGCACCCATCGTGCACCCATCGTGCACCCATCGTGCACCCATCGTGCACCCATCGTGCACCCATCGTGCACCCATCGTGCACGCCATCGTGCACCCATCGTGCACCCATCGTGCACCCATCGTGCCACCCATCGTGCACCCATCGTGCACGTCCATCGTGCACCCCATCGTGCACCCATCGTGCACCCATCGTGCACCCATCGTGCACCCATCGTGCACCCATCGTGCACCCATCGTGCACCCATCGTGCACCCATCGTGCACCCATCGTGCACCCATCGTGCACCCATCGTGCACCCATCGTGCACCCATCGTGCACCCATCGTGCACCCATCCTGCACCCATCCTGCACCCATCCTGCACCCATCGTGCACCCATCCTGCACCCATCCTGCACCCATCCTGCACCCATCCTGCACCCATCCTGCACCCATCCTGCACCCATCCTGCACCCATCCTGCACCCATCCTGCACCCATCCTGCACCCATCCTGCACCCATCCTGCACCCATCCTGCACCCATCCTGCACCCATCCTGCACCCATCCTGCACCCATCCTGCACCCATCCTGCACCCATCCTGCACCCATCCTGCACCCATCCTGCACCCATCCTGCACCCATCCTGCACCCATCATGCACCCATCATGCACCCATCATGCACCCATCATGCACCCATCATGCACCCATCATGCACCCATCATGCACCCATCATGCACCCATCCATCATGCACCCATCCATCATGCACCGCTAAGATAAATGCCCTATGTTTTAGCGGGAACTCCGTATGGAGTCTGTTGGATATGGACATTTTACGTGGCAGTCAACTGAACGTTAGGTGGATCTCGCTGTAAGGTGATGATGTGGCACTCGGTTAACGCAGTGGTAGTTCCTGCGATGCGACACGCTGGCAATGATTTCTCACTGGCTCATTCCAGCTCAGCCGAACACCTTCTCCTGAATCCCCTAATGCATTGGGGAATTTGCGATGGTCTTCACCAGTCTCTCTGGTTTGTCCCTCGTTGGAAGCCTGACCTCCTCATAGATTGGCCAGCAAACTCAGCCAATCACAGTTACAGTACCTCCGCGATCAGCTGAAGGTAACAATCCCTGGGTCCTGTCGAGTCGCGGCAAAAACCATTTAGATCCACACACCACCCCCACTCATGGAAACGGATCTCGGATTCACCTCATAATAAAAATCGCAACTCGTAACTTCGATTTTCTCCGACGCTGTTTCTCGAATATCCACGCTTATATTTGGCGGGAAAGTAATAAGGCCATCGATGATTGGATGATACTCGTCTTCTTGTAGGATTAGACCCTCCCACGACGCTCCCAGGACTTCAGGCGAACAAGTGGACTAGCTACCCAGAATCTTGAAGGTTCCGAGCCAGCGTGACAAGCGAAGTAAGCCAAGCCAAGCCAGGTGGTGTACATTCAAAGCGCGACGCGACCTCACATCCCTCGTGGCCCTCTCCGACAGCATCCGTCGGCCTCCAGCGCGCGCAGTGAGTGATGATCTTCGCTTCCGCGCTTCGCGTCTAGCACTTCCTCTTGCGCCATGATCGCCCCGGCAACAGCCGTTGCGGAACGGCTGAACGTACTTACAGTACTAGTGCCGAGAAAGTCACTGGATGTATTCGCAGCAAAGCCTTCTTGTTTGCGAAGGTTCTTGCAGCACTGCCTTGTTATCAGTACATCGTGATCTCGGATCTGTCGAAACCTCTGAGTACAGTTTCCTTGCCAAGAGCACTGCGTATTCTATCAATAGAGTTTCGCGTTTGACTGTTGCTTTTCGCCATGGCTCCGGCTATCGTTGTCGCAGGCCCTAGTATCATGACTCTCTCGCAAGTCGGTGTGCGACCTCCAGTCGCATCCGCCACGCTACACTCACCCTCCTCCAAATCCGCCGTACGCGCCACGTCAGCCAGATCCACGTCGTCAGCGAACGTGTGCGCAGTCAGCGCGTCGGCAGTTCCTAAGCCGCTTGAATGGCTCGAGGTGTCTGGAAGCCCGTTCGAGCGCGGCTGTGCGATCGGCGTGCGATTCGGCGACAAGATCCGCGATCGCGTCGCCAAGGCGCCGTTTCTGCACGACGACATGATTCCGTTCGCACGGACGGGCGAAGGAGCTTGGCTGCTGGAAATGTTTTCCGAGTCCAACAAGTGAGTCCTCATTCAGACTCAGAACGCCGCTGTAACTCCCCGGATTTTCCACCGCCACCGCAGGGCGCTATACCCGGAATACTGGGAGGAACAACTCAAAACTGAACCCCCCCCCTCCCACCGCCACCGCAGAGCGCTATACCCGGAGTACTGGGAGGAGCTCCGTGGCCTGGCGGCTGGCAGCTGCGTTCCGTTTTTGAGTCGACTCAAAAATATACTCATCACACGTCTGTCCTGTCCCCTTTTCACCTCCTTCTCCCTCCCACCGCCACCGCAGAGCGCTATACCCGGAGTACTGGGAGGAGCTCCGAGGCATGGCGACTGGCAGCCGCGTTCCGTTTGACGAGGTGAGCCGATCCCTTTCACCGAAAGTGACTTGAGCCGCCTTGTTTGGCGAGGTGAGTGGATCCCCTACACCGCGGCGGGCGTCGTTGAAAAGGGTTTGATTGTGGTCACTGTCCGGTCTTGTGCTGCCTGTCCAACCGTTTGCTGAACTGTCCTGGCTTTGAGAAGCTTCCAACGGAATCTGAGTGAGCTGCAGCCCGTCGGATGAGGATAGATCCGACGGCTGGAGGAGTAGGTAGTCTGGATGCTTTCGCAAAAATCACCGTCCCCCACTTCATGTCTACTATCCTCAATCTACTGTCTACTGTCTACCCTGTTGTACCTTAACACCCATCTCTTCCACGTCAGCTGCTGCTTCTGAACCTTCGCAAGGAGTTCGGCCCCTTTCTGCCGTCACTCAACGCTCCTGCCACGTCAGCACTGCTGCCTGAGCTGGCCTCGCCGGCTATGACTGGATCTGGTGGTTCTGGTGCTGCCACGTTGGACAGGGCGCTGCAGTATGGCATGTCGTCTGACGACTGCTCTGACGTGTTACTGCTCACGGATGACGTGGCAGCAGTGGGGCACAACGAGGATGCGGACTACTCGATTGTGGATAACACGTGAGTGGCTGCAGTTCCCATGCCACCATGCCTACCATGCCACACCATGCTGTGACGTGCCGTGCCATGCCATGCACATCACCATGCTGCGCTATCCATCCCATATCATGTCATGTCATTCAACGTGCCATGCCATCCGATGCCATGCCATGCCATGCCATGCCATGCCATGCCATGCCATGCCATGCCATGCCATGCCATACCATGCCATGCCATACCATCCCATGCTATGCTGTACTATACCATCCCATGTAACCCGTTGACCATGCCATCCCATGCTATGCCATGTCCGTGAGTAGCCCTTCCTCACTGCTTCCCACTTCCTGCCTTTCTTCCACCTCTCCTCTGCATCCCGCATCATTCTTCTCGCAGCTTCCTGGTGCACGTGCACGCCGACAGCGGTGTTACCTTCACTGCGTACACCTATGCGGGCGAGCTCCCATCTGTGGCATTCGGGTTCAATAACGCCAGAATGGTGAGAGCAGAGAGACTCACCGCTAACCACACCATGGCATGGCATCACCAGGTGTTGCCTTCACCGCATACACCTACGCGGGCGAGCTCCCTTCCGTGGCTTTCGGCCTTAACAACGCCAGAATGGTGAGAGCAATGAGAGCAGAGAGGCTGACTGACTGTCACAAATGAGTTCAAGAGGTGTTGCCTTCACCGCATACACATACGCGGGCGAGCTCCCCTCTGTTGCTTTCGGCTTCAATAACGCCAGAATGGTGCGTTCTTGTTGTTGCTGAGAGGTGCAACTACGTTCACAGTGGCGTTGCCTTCATCGCATACATGTACACGGGCGAGCTCCCTTCTGCTGCTGCTATCCCTTCGGGTTCAACAACGCCAGAATGGTGGGTTCTCAGTGCTGCATGGTGTGCAAGCGGACAGGCCTCCTGCTGCTGCTGCTGCAACTGATTCCACATAACGTTGCCTTCACCGCGTAAAGGCAACACATGGCCTTCACTCACTGGAGAGGCCTATCTGGGCGAGCTCCCATCCGTGGCCTTTGGACGCCTTTCTTGGGAATTCTCACTTGGAATTCCGTGCAAGGGAAGCGCCATTTGTTGCTCGCAGTGTCTCTTCTCATTCGAAAGCCACGTGGAATCAGAAGTGTTTTGAGACGTGTCTAAAAAACACTTCTAATCTCACGTGGCCTTTCTTGGGAATTCTCACTTGGAAGAGGTAAACTCCGTGCAAGGGAAGCGCCATTCGTTGCTCGCAGTGTCTCTTCTCATCCTCCTTCTCTCCTTCCTTCCAATTCCCCTTCCTCCAGGGATTCTCCATGGATGCAGTACCCCCAGCGCCGTCAGAAGTGGTGAAGGGAGGCATAGGACGCAACTTTGTTGCTCTGTGACAGTTCTCACAAATGTTTCATCCTCCTCCTCCTCCCTCCCCTTCCACCATCCGTTCCCCCCCTCAGGGTTTCTCAATGGACGCGGTACCCCCAGCGCCGTCAGAAGTGGCGAAGGGAGGCATAGGACGCAACTTCGTTGCTCGCAGCCTCATGGAGTCACAGTCAATAGAGGATGCCGTGCAGGTGAGAGTGTGACTGTGATTGTAACGAGTGTGACTGGAACGATTGTGACTGTAACGAGCGGGACTGCAAAGGGGGGACTGAGAGGTGTGGCAGAAGACATTTGAAGTGATGTCAGCCTGAGGATGCTTGAACGTCATAGTTTTGTATGGAGGGTTTATGGGTGCTTAAGAGTGATCATGTAGAGGGGTGATAAAAAGGAAAGAGGGACCTTGCAGCTCTATGATTCTTCCATGGCCTTTTTAATATCCTTCGGACGGTTCTTATTGCCGCAAATGCCATATTTCTCTTTCCCTACTCTCCTCAATATCCTTCCCCTCCTCCTCCTTCCACTCCCGCCCCTCTCCCTCCCTTCAACATCCCGCTCCCAATCAACATGTGCCACATGGCAGCGCGTGACTGGTCCAGCGGTGGCAGTGGGGCATCACTACGTGGTGATGGACTTTGCTCACCGTCGAATCGCGTCCGTTGAAACCGCATCCAACGGCCGGCATAGCATCCTGGAGCTGGGCCCAAACCCCAAGCTCGAAAGCCAGGCTGACCCTAATGGTGCTGCTGCTTCTAGCAGTGCTGCTTCTAATGATGCTGCTTCAAACGGTGCTGCTTCTGCTAACGGTGCTGCTGCTGCTGCTGAGGGCACGGCATACATATTCCATGCTAACGCGTACACGCGACTGCGTCTGCGTGAGCAGATGGGCCCCAGCGCCCACCGCAGAGAGGCCACTGCCAGACGCCTGGGCGCTCCCACAACCACCCACGACATGCTCAAGGTGAGTGGGGGCTACAGTCAAATCAGTGTGGCAATGTTGAGGGTCTGAGAGTGCGAGAGTGGTGTTGGTGCAGCTGCGGGAGAAGATGAGTCCCAGCTCCCACCGCAGAGAGGCCACTTCCAGACGCCTGGGCGCACCCACAACCACCCACGACATGCTTAAGGTGAGACGAGTTTTGAGTCGACTCAAAACTCGACTCACTACACGCACCGACAACCACCCACGACATGCTCAAGGTGAGTGGAACTGTAAAGGGCTGCCGTCAAGTGTGTGTGGCAATGCTGAGGTTCTGAGGTGACTTTTGAGTCGACTCAAAAGTCAACCACCCACGACATGCTTAAGGTGAGAGGAACTGTAAAGGGCTGCTGTCGAGTGTGTGTGACAAGTTCAGGTGGAGGTAACGTGAGTGCGGAAGGCACGGCATACATATTCCATGCCAACGCGTACACGAGGCTGCAGCTGCGGGAGAAGATGGGCCCCAGCGCCCACCGCAGAGAGGCCACTGCCAGGCGGTTGGGCTCTCCAAGAAGCACACAAGACATGCTGAAAGTAAGTGCTGAAGGGACAGAAATGAGTGAGCTTCCATGCCAATGTGTACACAAGGCTGCAGCTGCGGGAGAAGATGGGCCCCAGCGCCCACCGCAGAGAGGCCACTGCCAGACGGGACTATACCGACAAGGAGTATACATCTTCCATGGGGGCAATGCCTTGTCATGGAACCTGCCCTCACACGCCTTCCCTCCTGCCTCTCTCCCCTCCGTGCCCTCCCATCAGATCCTATCAAACTCAGACGATAAAGAGTATCCCATCTTCAATGAGGGAAAGGCCTTTCCATGCCCTCATCTCTCCCTCCCGTCCTGTCCCATTCCTCGCTCTCTCCCCGCACCTCTCCCTCCCACCAGATCCTATCCAACTCAGACGACAAGGAGTATCAAATCTTCAATGACGGCAATGCCTTTTCACGCCCCCTCACACATGTCTACATCTCGTCTCTCCCCCCCTGTGCTTGCCACCCCCCTTGTGTCTCCCACCAGATCCTATCCAACTCAGACGACAGGGAGTATCCCATCTTCAATGAGGGAAACCCCTTCGAGATTGGAGGTGAGTCATCCAGTGCGGTGTAAGGGTGTGTGAGGAGGTTGTGCGGTGTTCTGTGTCCCATTGACCTGCAAGCACCACTCAACTCTCTCCCCTTCCTCTTCTCCCAACATGCGGGTTCGATTAGGATGCTGGGAAACTCAGCACCTTCTGTCTTCCACCATCCCTACAAGCGCAACTCACCCCTCTCCCTTCCACTTTTCCCAACACCTCCTTTCCCTTCCCTCTTTCTCCACCTGCCAGGCCCGGTCATCCATGCGCTGCATACCACACTCTTCAGCCTGGATGCTGGGAAACTCAGCATCTTCTGTCTTCCATCTTCTATCTTCCATCTTCTATCTTCCATCTTCTATCTTCCATCTTCTATCTTCCATCTTCTATCTTCCATCTTCTATTTTCCCGTCCCCACCTCTGTTTCCACCAGGCCCGGTCATCCACACGCTACACAGCACGCTCTTTAACCTCGATGCCGGGAAACTTAGCGTCTTTGGCGGGCGATCCACAGATGGCAACGTGCTCCATGAGTTTGATGTCTGAAGCGCACCTGAGGGGCGCCTGAGGGACGCCTGAAGGGCGCCTGAGGGGCGCCTGAGGGACACCTGAGGGCACCTGAGGGCACCTGAGGGCACCTGAGGGGCACATATCAACCTGGATGCCAGGAAGTTGGCCATTTTTGGTGGGTCGGGCACGGATGGCAACGTGCTCTCCATGAGGGTGGCGTCTGAGGGGGCACCTGAGGAACACCTGAAGGGGCACCTGAAGGAACACCTGAGGGGCAGTTTTCGGAGTCACCTACCACTGCGTTTGGTGCAGCTCCATTCAGTTGGTTTGCTATTTGGTTTAAATCTATGCTTGTTTCCCATGTATTTATGCCCATTAGTGAAAATCTTCCTCCTTGGATACATGCTTGCTTCTCCAATGCACTGCCCAAAGGCCTCTTTCTGCAATGACGCCTCCAGTCATTACTGACGTACAGTACAACAGACCTGTGACTCGAGGGAACCTGAAGTACAACTGAACTGAACACTCTGGGGAGGGGACATCAGAGGGACACCCAGGGAGCGGACACGTGAGGGACATGTGAGGGACATGTGAGGGACAGTTGAGGGACAGCTGAGGGACAGCTGAGGGACAGCTGAAGGACAGCTGAGGGACACCCGCGGGGTACTTTGGGGGGGACACCTGAGGGGCACCTGAGTGGTAGCTCTGAAGGTGTCTCATAGTGATGCACACAATTGTAATTGTGTCCTTTACAGTACATAAACCGTTTCACTTGTGTCACATATTTTCTCTTCCTGAGAAGTTTCCTCGTCATACCATAGGTCTCAAGCTGAAGAAGTGATTTCCCTCTTGCTCAAATAGATATGAATTCTCATTATTCTCATGCTCCCCAACCCAACTGCCTCTGTCTCCAGCTAAACAGGTGCTGGGAACTAAGGGGGGGGGGCAAATCCAGCCATGACTTCTCATCTCTAAAGGCTCACATCACACGAGCTTTTAGAGAGGTGTAGTGCAGTGCATTGCCTATAATTTATTCTTAAATGAACAGAATACACTGGTAGGATTCGGCTTGGCTAAAGCCATCTGCTATTCACAGTTGGCACTACTCCACCGCAATAGCAGTGTTTTTTTTTTTTCTTCTTCTTCTTCTTCTGGCGGCTTTGTGGCTGCATTGCATACATGAAGCAATGTTGGCAGCATGCCCACTAATCTGGCGTGTGTCACGTGCGATGCCCTCTGATGCAATAAATGCAAGAATGCTGCTGCTTCTGGACTGGAAGAAGCTCCATTAGAGCAGGTGTGATGACCTGCTGGGCTGTTGCATAAGTGCAGTACACCATGATGACAGGCAACGAGGTACCCAATCACTATGTGTCTGACCCGTCTTGGCGTCTGCTGCACCCCCCAATGGCACTACTATGTGTGATGCAGCCGTGTGTGGATATAAAGAATCCTCCGCATAAACCGAATCGGCTTGAAGGGCGCTCCACTGCAGGTGGTGTGGTGAGCTGATGGGCTGGCTGAGTGCAGTGAGGCAACAAGGTGCTTCTCCATCACTATGTGTCTGAATCATCATGGCTTGTGCTGCGCTGCCCAGTTGCCCTTGCAGAAGCAGCCGAGTCTGAATCGTCACAGTTGTAAGCATTGTCAGCATTGTCAGCATGGTAAGAATCCATCTCCGTAGCGCCACCACAACTTGCAAATGCAACCCCAGCCTGGGATGCAGGAGGAACAGTGCTGCCATAAACTGCAGCCATAACACCTGCAGCAGTATCAGCAGACGTGGCAGCAGCAATAACTTCAGTTGTTGTTGCTGTCGCTGTTGCCGTTGCTGCTGCTGCTGCTGCTGCTGCTGCTGCTGCTGCTGCTGCTACTGCTCCCACACTGCCGCTATGCCCTGAAGCCACACCACCACCAGTGGCAGCTACAATAGTGTTTCCGCCAATCCCTATATCTCCAGGGTACGGAAATGACGAAGATGCAGATACTGCATCATCCTCAAACGAATCAATGCCAGGTGCAGCAGTTGGAACAAAGCGCATCGGAATACGAGCAGTGGCAGCAGGGGAGCAGGCCGAGGCAGCAGGCTGCAGCAGCGTTCGCCCGGACCACGTGTGCGTGATGACAGGTGGCGGTGGGCGAGGCCTCCCGGGCAGCTGAAAACCGGGGAGCTGGAAATTGGGCAGTTGAAAAACAGCTGTGGTATTATTAACAGAGGCAGCAGCAGCACCACCACCAGCGCCTGATCCCATTCCGACCATGGGCCGCATGCCAGCAGCTGCTGCAGATGAAACGGCCAGACCTCTAGGCTGAAACGCGGCAGGAAATGCAACGGCAGGGGAAAAGAGAGCTGGATCATAGGCTGCTGGCTGCTGCTGCTGCTGCTGGCGTTCTGATGTGGGGATTGGTGCTCCAAGAACCTCGCCGTGTGCTGCAACTGCGCGTGCAGAAACACCATGGGTTGCCTCAACAGGAATGGATGCTGCAACGCCCGAGTAGACAGCAGGACTGACGATCTCGCCTGGTGGGCGAGGAATAAGATGACCAGGAGGATAAGACGAGGCGCGTGGATCTTGCAGAGAGAAGGGGTGTTGCCGTTGCTGGGGGATGCTGGAGAAGGAATGCTGTTGCTGAAAGATGACTGAGGGGAAATGGTCCCTGCCGCCAGTGGGTAAGGCTCCAGCATTCTGGTAGTGTTGCAGCATCAGCATTGAAGCGCTGATCGGCTGCTGCTGCTGCTGCTGGTGCTGCTGCTGCTGCTCATAACCATCCCATTCCATTCCTGGCGTCAAAGCCTCGTCCTGATTACCATCATAATCATCCCCTTGATTGTCATCATCTTGATTGTCATCATGATTACCATCATGCACATGGTTTACTTGAGTGGTGGTGCCGCTAGTGCTTCCCACCTCGGGATCATCATTAGTCATGACATGCTCCTGATGATGAATGTGACTCGTCCTGCTGGCCGGCCTTTGCCTGAGCTGATACGCTGGGGAGACGGACCGCAACACCTGGGTGAAAGACGCCGGCGGTCGCCATGCCCGTGCGGTGGCGGCAGCGGCCGCGGTGTGATATTGACGTTGCTGCAGCATCCTTCTGTCAGGTGGCATGGCGCCGGCTGCAGAAGCTTCGAGAGGAAAGTCGTCATAGTAATGACCGTTTTCATGATCAGGAACTGACCCTGATGCATTCCCGTTTCCTGATTCATCCACATTCACGTTCAACCCTTGAAAAGAGCTGAGTTGCTGATGTCCCGAGCTCATTAGGGTATAGGAGCCACCGTTGAGAACTCCGGTTGCTATGTTGCCTCCTCGGTCTGATGATAATGATGCGAGAATGACGGACGATTCAGCCAGCGGAGAGACAGGATCCGACTGAATCGAAACGTCGTTGACTTCCGCTTGTAGGTGCATGGGTGGGTCGCTTGGTCGCTCACTCACATCGATTTCAGATCTGCCACACCATACGATGATCACACAATGGAAGTACATCCCAAATTTGTTCGGCGAAAATACTAAGTAAACACAATGTCGACACATTGAAAATACGTAGTGCGCACAATGTCCTGACGAACTATGTAAGTATAGGTTCTGCGACTTACAAGCTACTCTACACCTCGCAATAAGGTAAGTGCTATGTGTATACTCAATTTTCGAGTAGAACATACTATGTCCATATTCTTCAAACAGAAAGACCATACTCATACCAGCATGATTAAGTGTGTACGAGGTTAACACTAAGACTCTACTGTCCGTTAAATCTGAGGTTTGTACATAGTACATACTATGCCTGTAGCACGTAACTACGGTATGAGCAATTATTAGCATTTGTTTTTCCAGCTCAGGGTGACGCCCTTTATCAATCTTTGCTATGATGGGAGTGAGTTTAAAATTGTATATATTAAATTAATATTTACACAATTAATACAGCTAAAAAAAAAACGGTCACATGACGTCAACTTTTGACAGGTATATGTCTTCACAACGAAGGGCCGCCGTAAGTGCAGAACTTGTAAGCGATGACTTCTCAATCCTAATCCCTGTAAAAACGGGAAACATTTTGCTACAATCAATAAAAAACACTAAACACTTACTGATCATAGTCAATCTGTCAGAGTTATATGACATAGCTACTGTAGGCTATAGTGGGGTAGCACATATGGGGTACAGTTGCCTAGGGTTTGCCTTTTTGTACCCAACTTTCACTTAGTCATTTCATTCCTGTTTTCTTGATTCACATGGTATAGAGCGGGTTCCTACATGGGACCGTTCCTTCCTAAGGGCCCACCATAAGAATTTTTTTTTTAGTTGCCCGCGCACATTGCGCCCTGCCCTAAATTTTTTTTTTTTAGCGGCCCCTACGCTGCCCCTACGCGGCCCCTACGCCGCCTCTCACGCGCCCCCTATGCGGCCCCTGGCGACGCCCTGACGAGGCCCCTGCCGGCGCCCTATCGCGGCCCCTGACGCGCCCCCTGGTGGCGCCCTGACGCGGCCCTGACGCGGCCTGATGCGGCCCCTGGCGGCGCCCTGACGCGGCCCCTGCCGCGGCCCTGACGCGGCCCTGCCGCGGCCCCTGACGCGGCCCTGACGCGGCCTGCCGCGGCCAATGCCGCGGCCCTGAAGCGGCCCCTGACGCGGCCCTGACGCGGCTCTGCCGCGGCCCTGACGCGGCCCTGACGCGGCCCTGCCGCGGCCCCTGGCGGCGCCCTGACGCGGCCCCTGACGCGGCGCCCTGACGCGGCCCCTGCCGCGGCCCTGACGCGGCCCTGCCGCGACCCCTGACGCGGCCCTTACGCGGCCTGCTGCGGCCCCTGCCGCGGCCCTGAAGCGGCCCCTGACGCGGCCCTGACGCGGCTCTGCCGCGGCCCTGACGCGGCCCTGACGCGGCCCCTGACGCGGCCCCTGCCGCGGCCCCTTACGCGGCCCTGACGCGGCCCTGCCGCGGCCCCTGGCGGCGCCCTGACGCGGCCCCTGACGCGGCGCCCTGACGCGGCCCTGCCGCGGCCCCTGACGCGGCCCCTGCCGCGGCCCCTGACGCGGCCCCTGACGCGGCCCCTGTCGCGGCCCCTGACGCGGCCCCACCACCTACCTTTCCGGCCACGCCGCCTCCTCTCAGCGGCCCCGCCGCCTCCTCCCAGCGGCCCCGGACGCCGCCCTCTCAGCGGCCCCGCCGAGCCGCCCAGCAGCCTAGCCGCCCAGCAGCTAAGCCACCGAGCCGCCCAGCAGCCGAGCCGCCGAGCCGCCCAGCAGCCGAGCCGCCCAGCAGCAGAGCCGCCGAGCCGCCCAGCAGCCGAGCCGCTGAGCCGCCCAGCCGCCGAGCCGCCCAGCAGCCGAGCCGCCCAGCAGCCGAGTCGCCGAGCCGCCCTGCAGCCGAGCCGCCCGAGCCGCCCTGTCCGGTAAGAGCAGCGCCTCTCTCACAGCACTGCCCTCACCCCACTGTTTGTGCTGCTAGTCTACTGCTGTCATGGCTACCCCTAGTGTCCTCGCTTTTGACGCTGAGGGTCGGGCCATTGACTTTGACGTCTGGATAGATGACCTGCAGCTTTTCTTACAGTGCGATAGGGCAGACGGCCTCTCCCTCTTTGACCTCACTTCTGGTGCCTCTCCTGCCCCCGCCACTGATGCTGACGCAACTGTTCGCTCCCAGTGGGCCACGCGCGATGCTGCTGCACGTCTTGCTGTGCGTCGCCACCTGCCTACCTCTGAGCGTGCGCACTTTAGCCAGTACAAGAGTGCTCAGACCTTGTACGACGCTGTAGTTGCACGCTACTCCTCCCCTGCCACTGCTGCACTGAGTCGCCTCATGCTACCGTACCTCTTCCCTGACCTTGCTGCCTTTCCCACAGTCGCTGACCTCATTACGCACCTACGCACTAGTGACACTCGCTACCGCGCTGCGCTTCCTGCTGAGTTCTGCGCCAAGAACCCCCCCCCCATGTACATCACCCTCTACTACATAGTCACCCGGCTCCCTGACTCCCTTCGCGTAGTCAGGGACCACTTCCTCTCAGTTTGCCCCACCACTCTCACCGTTGACCTCCTCGAGAAGTCCCTCCTAGCAGCAGAGAAGAGCATAGTAGCTGTAGGAGCCTCTCGTGGTGACCCTCGCACCCCCATCTTTGAGGGGTGTTCCCCCTCCCCCCTTTTGCCCTCTGTTGCCTCTGCTGCTGCGGCCGACCTCGTTGGGCTTGAGTCGGTCGGTGCGGCGTCTACCCCTAGCGGGAGACGCCGCCCTGGCAAGGGCAAGGGGGGCAGGGGCGCTGGAGGAGCTAGCGGGGGCGGTGGAGGCGGCAGTGGAGGCGGTGGAGGAGGTGGGGGTGGCGGTGGGGGTGGTGGCGGGGGTGGAGGTGTCGGTGGCGGCAGTGGAGGCGGAGGCGGCAGCGGCAGTGGCGGAGGGAGCGGAGGTGGCGGCGGTGGAGGAGGAGGCGGCGGAGGAGGTGGAGCTGGTCGGGGTGGCGCTGCGCAGAGGGTCGGCTCCGGTGGTGGTCAGCGCCAGCAGCAGCAGCAGCACCAGCAGCGCACTCGTGACATCCCCTCCCCTCAGCAGCTCCGTGAGTGGTACACTGCACGCCAGAGGGGTGGGGGTACTGGTCCGTGCACCTACGTCCTCCGCACCGGCGACCGCGCGGGTGAGCAGTGCGGGGGTGCGCACTCCACCCAGCGCTGCTTTGGCCGCCTGACGGACGCTTGGCGTCACCAGTTCCCTGAGGCCACTGAGATCCCCCGCTGGGGTGAGCTGTCTAGGGCGGGTGTGGCTGTCTTTGACCTTGACTTTGACGCTATTCTTGCTGCCATGTATACTGTGACTATTAGTGATGAGGGTGACTGTTACCGGTGTTTTCCGCCCGACCCGGGCATTGAGACTGCTGCTCTAGGTACTGGTGAGGCTGCTGCTCTAGGTGCTAGCGAGGCTGCTGCTCTAGGTGCGTCTGCTCCCTCATGTGCTGGTGAGTCTGCTCTCTCAGGTTCTGCGTCGGCTTCGGCCTCCCACACCTTCACCCTTGACTCGGGGGCTTCTCGCTCCTTCTTTCGAGACCGCACCACACTCATGCCGCTTAGCTGGCCAGTTGCAGTCTCTCTGGCAGACCCCTCTGGGGGTCCTGTCCTTGCTCACTTCTCCACTGTCCTCCCGTGTCCGGCGGCCCCCTCTGGCACCCTGTCTGGTCTTTACCTTCCCTCGTTCTCTACGAACTTGGTGAGTGGTGCTGACCTACAGGATGCGGGGGTTCACCAGTTCACTCCTGCGAGTCGGCGGGTGACCCACTGCACGGACGCTCGGACAGGCCGACACCTGGCCACGTTTACCCGTCGGCCGGGGTCGAGCCTGTACACCCTGACCACTGCGTCTCCTCCAGTCACTGCGTCTGGTCAGGTAGCTGCGTCGGGTCAGGTGTTTGCTGCAGCGTCCAGGTCTGGTCCTGAGTCTGCCCCCTGTTCGTGTCGCCTCCTGTCTCACGAGACTCTCCTCTGGCACCACCGCCTTGGTCACCCCTCCCTGCTTCGTCTCCGAAGCATGGCCTCCCGTGTCCTTGTCTCTGGTCTTCCCCGGTCCCTCCCTCCCCTTCCTCCGGGGCCTGGCCCTACCTGCGTCCCCTGTGTCGAGGGGCGGCAGCGGGCTGCCCCTCACTCCTCCCAGTTTCCTCCGACAGAGGCCCCGCTGCAGACGCTTCACATGGACGTGTGGGGCCCGGCCCGCGTCCGTGGACAGGGTCACGAGCGCTACTTCCTGCTGGTGGTTGACGACTACTCGCGTTACACCACAGTCTTCCCCTTGCGCA